CAAGTCCGGGACCTGTCATCGCTGCCGTGTGAGCCAATGTTGTCCGCATCCACGTCGGGTTGTTTGTTGTAACTATGACCGAGGTGGTTCGTCGGCTCCATTCGCACAGCTGTGCCCCACGCGGCGCGTAGGGCGAGGATGAGGCGCTGAAGAGTGTACTTGTATTTGATGTTGTGGACCTGCTGCGGAACGTTGACAACAGCATCCCCGAACTCGTCGTGGTACTTCTTGTTCCGAGTCTTCTTGCCCACCGACACGGCCTGGCAAGCGCCACGTCGAGGGGGAGACCCAGGCGGCGCTGCACCGAGATACGCATCGCCCAAGTCTCCATTCGCATGTCATCCCGCATGGGGATGGCGTTGAGGAAGGCGCCGGCGCAATCCTGGCTCACCGCCACGAAGCGGACCGCCTCCCGCCAGGCCGCGTGCCTCGCCCGCTCCCTGCCCTCGGCACGCGCCTTGCCCTTCTTGCCACGAGGAGCAGACCGCGATCCCTCGGAGCCCTCCTTGGCGAACTCCACGGCGAGGTCGCGCCAGTTCCTGCGTTGTGGACCACGGTCGTGAAGCGCCGCTGCGCCTGGTGCAGGTACTCGTTCTTGGACGTGAACTCGGCGAGGGGCAGCTCCTTGTCCGCGACGAGAGTATGCGGCCGGAAGCGCGAGAGGGCCACCCTCGAGTCGTAGCCGGCTCCGGTGGCAGCGCGGAGGCGCGCAGCTTCTCGCCCTCGTCGGGCTCGTCCCACGGCTCCACCTCGACGTCCGGGGGCCTGCCTGCGTAAAAGAAACAGAACAACGACGCAGGGGAGGCGTGTCTGTTGAGCTTGCGCGATTTTCTTTTTACTTTCCAAGATCGGTTCTCGCCGGGGACATCCCTCCGTTTGCTGAAGGGTCCGTGTGCCGAGTCGTGCTCCTCGGGGATTCCGTTGTCCGATGATATCGCCACATCTCCTGTGGCGGTATCGTAATTATTCTTTCTTTGTATGTAAAGAAAGAAAGAAAGCAGTCTACTTTGTATATGTATGTATGTATGTAGGAAGGTGAAGAACAGTCTCAGTCAGGACTGGACACCAACGCGTCATGCGTTATGGGTGGACGCGGGACAGACAGATGATGACGACACGCTCGAGCGACACACAGAAAGAAAGAAAGAAAACAGACATGCCAAGGGAGGGAGGGATGGGAGGACGCTGGACGGCACGCCGCCACCACAAAGGGATTTTAAGGAGAGGAGTGTGGTGCTAGCCGTCGCCCACCCTAGGGAGTCTGCCTCTTCCTATCTCTCTTCGCGACACCACGCAGGCTACAATCCTTTTTCTTTCGCATAAAAGACCAAATGACGTGTGAGTGTTAGATTTGTTTGGTATTGCTAAAAATCTCTCTCTAAAAGAATATTCGGTCCGACACCCGAATGGTACGGACGGCACACCAGCAAATGGTGCTCGCAACCTCTGCCCCGATTTTCCCTAACCCGGCCGCACCGCGGACCCGCTGGCCGACGCTCGCGGCCGCGCCGCCACCTGCTGGCAAGATTGACGGCCGACGGCTCGCAAAGCTTGTCGAGCGCGTCCGCCGCTCCCCGAAATCTGCATCCTTCTACCTCAACGAGGAAGCGGAAGCGCTCTCACCACGCGCGTACTCCCGCGTGCTCAAGGGTTTTCGCGATCGCAAGGCATGGCGCGCCACCCTCTCCACCATCGCCCATCTCAAGGCGAGAGAGGAACTAAACTCCATCCACGCCACGCTGGGCTTCAGCACCTGTGCAGCATGCCAGAACGCGATGGCGGCGATCGAGCTTCTCGACATCCTCGGCCTGCCACACGGGCGTGGTGCCAGCCTCGACGTCGACCTGCGTTGCCTCAACCAGGCCATCGTCGCGCTGGGCTCTGCTCCGCCACGCACGCTGCTACCCGCGCCCGCCGCATCCGCCGCGCTGCGCGTCCTGCACGACTTTATCCCCGGCACGGGGCTACAGCCGGACGCATTCAGCTACGAGGCGGCCCTGTCCGCGCTGTCCAGGGCGGGCGACGGCTCCTCTGCCCTCTCGGTCTTTCGGGAGATGCGGAGGGTGACCTTGCCCACCATCACCCCACTTCCTCCCTAGCCCCGCCCTCCGCCCCACACCAATCCCCTCGCCCACCCCCTCGCCCATCCCTCACCCCCACCCGCCCCACAGGTCGGCCTGGAGAGAGGCGCCAACTCCTACTCGAGCACCATCACCGCTCTGCGGAGGGCGGGCCGGCCGCGCCTGGCGCTGCGGGTCTTCGACGCGATGGCCGTCGAGGCTCATTCATTCACTCACTAAGTGACGTGTGTCGATGGACACTCAACATCCCCGCGACCTCTCCTACCCATGCGCTTAGGCGGTGGCG